TTCTATAGGCTTTTTTTCCCAAATTTCAATCCATTAAAGAGATTGGGATTTAGCCATGTTGATAGCTATGCTTCCTATCCTTCTTCTGCCTGAAAACATGTGCTTGTGCCCTTTGTGGCCACTCAGGCACAGAATTCAAAATTAATGTAAAATTAAAATTTATACTTCACAGCTCAGCTACTTCTTAGATAAACAACAACAGTTCTCTGGAATTTATTGTCAATATCACAACTTAACTGACTGATCAATCTTGATCATATCATTTCTGCTCTAAGAAATACTTTGACAAAGGCCACTAGTGGCCAAGTATCTACCAAGAAATACGCCTTGCAATTCCATGCAATCCCATGGAATACCCATCCGTTCATCACTGACATTCTTTCCACCACTGCCTTTGGCCTCTCTTTAGCAGAGAGAATCCAAATTTGCACTATAAAAGCTGGTGGCTGGTATGAAACCACCGTCTCCTTTCCACCTTCAGACCGTCTGTGGCATTTGGACTCAGGTGCAAACCACCAGTGAAACAGCCCAACCCACCCAGCCTCTGACAAAAATTACCTTCAGCGAATTATTAAATAAAGGTCTCTTCAGATGACAGTGCAATGCATTCTTTTTCCTCTCCCCAGTCCTTCTTCTGCTCTTTTCAAATGGAAAGATTCATTCTCGGCGTTGGCAGGTAGACTGCCAGGAGAAGTTCAGGAGGCTTCTGGTCTTAGCAGGAGACTGCCACTCACACAACCTGCAGCTCCACACAGATGCGTGACCTGACTTGTGCTGCATCTTTGGCACCGTGTCCCTGTTTGCCACCCTGGGGCCTCCCCCCTGGGGAACTTCCCGTCACAAGCAATAAAACTCCTGACAGATCTTGGGAACGCACCATGCTCCTTGCCCCAGCTTGGCTCCATAAACAGTTTATTGCTTATTTTGCTTATCTGTATAGCCCGGTGATGAGAACTGTGCAAAATGCTTGCCTTAAATCCACGTGAAGCCTGTCTTTGAGTGCAGGCGCTGAGCAAATATTACAAAAAAAGGTTTTCCTTCAGCTCTGTGTGTGCCCAGTTTACATTTCTAGAATTGAAGTCTCTTGGCAAGATGTCAGGACAATTGTCAAGGAGGGATAATTTTGAAGTTCAGCTGGTAAACTTGTCAGGAACCAGCCTTCATATTTGCAAGGGAACGCTTTTGGCTTCTACAATGGTGGAAGTGACACAATGCAATTATACCGTCTCTCTGAATTATCTGATCAAGTGCAACAAGGGTACAGCTTGAATAGCAAATACCAACTTTGCTTGCCAAAATGAGGCGCTTTCAAAGAATTAACACATTTGGAGAAGTCACACTGCTCATGCACATGGTGCCCACAAGCAGAAAAGAAGCTGCATTCGTTAGCTGTGTAGCAACAAGTTTAGCACAGCTCCACTAGGCAAAGAGCTGGGTGACCCATGGTCCAGTCCCAATAGCAATTCATGCTGGTGAAGGTTCAGCAAATACTGGGCAAAGTTGGTGATGAGACAGGAAATCTCTCACTTTTCTTCTTCACATGCAGTTTTCCTCAGTATATAGGGAGAGCTAAGATCTCCAGGTCATTTCTTCCTAATGAGGGTGGCATTAAGTAGGTGACCTGAGATCATTTTAATGAGGATTATGCAGAACTTGACGGGGATTTACAACTAAAGGGGTCCCATTTCCCAGACAGAGACTGAATTTTGCTGAGAGACTTTTCCCTGGAAGAATAAGAGTGTTGTCACACTCGAGTCTTAAAGGCCTGACAGGTCTACTTCCAGGTCCTTTGAAACATTACATTTAGCCCAAGTAAAAGCACCTACTGTAACTTCTATAAGAAAAATGTAATTCCTTGCTGCCTCTGCACATCAACCCAGAATGACAAACTTTTTGTAGGACACCACACAGGTGCCCTTTCAGGTAAGTCCTCACAAGGCTTGCTTAGTGTTAACTGTGACAAATAAGACAAACACAAAATCTTATAAAAATATAAAGCTTATAAAAATATATTATTATATTATTAAAAATAATATATATAACAATATATTATTAAAAAAAATTATAAGCTTATAAAAGAAGCTTTAGTGAAGCTCCACGAATGCAATTTAACTTGTAATAATCACTTCTATCTCTCAGCTCGTACGATTAGGACAGAAAGTTAACGAATACAGTTTTAACTTTGTAAACTCGAGAAGGGCAATATGAAAATGGGAAAAGGAGTTCCAGCCTTTCACAAGGCAGGGCAAGACAAATTGCAGAAGCAAACCTCCCAGCTGGGAACTGCAAAACAACATGGATGAATAAATAGGTTGCAGCGTGCATACATCAGGATACCAAGCAAGTTATTTGCATCTGAGGAGTCCAGGAAGTATCTGTAAGAAAGGATGGACAGGCAGATGTCTGAGGCTGCTCCCGACTCAGCCAGTCAATCTACACCGTATGCAGATTATCTAAATAGCTCCTGGTACATCTCCATCACTCCGTCGGCGTAGGCTCCATTAGAGATTCAGGCGTTAGCTCTGAGCAGGCTCGTAAGCCAATACAGCACTCGGTGAAACACTAGCTTAGGTCTTGGAAGCAGCACAGATCTCTTATTTAGCTTATGCTCGTTTGTTTTCCTGTCTCTGCCTTCCTGAAGCGGCTTTCTTCCTTAATATCTTTTCAAAATAATAAGTTCTCCCTCCTCAAAACAAAACCAAAAGTCCACGTCCATCGGCAGATGATAAATTAGTGTATGTTACAGGTTGCTGAAGAAATATAGCTCTATTAAGGGAATGGGAGCATCCCCAGACTTTTGTTGCAAAATCAGAACTTTTATTAAGCTCCTGTGTGTATATACAAGGTTGTTGTTGTTGCATATTCTTAAAGAGTTTGAAGCAGATGGTCTTGCAAAACTACTCAGGATTTTGGTTATATAAATACACTACTAGTTATTTATATTTGTCCTAGTCTATTTCTATAGGAATAATGGAAGTATGGTGATGTATTTACTGTTAGGCAAGCTGTAAACAACCCTTTAAATTATTTTACTTGGATAGCTTGTGTCTGCATTCAATTCATAAACATTTGAAATGTTTATGTTGAAATGTTTTAAAGGCAAAAATACATAAAGGATGGAAGCCACGCTGCTGAAAACAGAAAGGGGTGGTAAAACTGGGCTCTCTAAAGCCATCTAATGCACTTGCCTGAACATCTCTGCTCATTGTAGGATGAGTAACTAGGCAAAGGCTACCTGAAAACTGAAAATTATCATCACATGCCACCCACATTTGCACCATGAAGCCTGACAGGGAAAACAAAGTTCTGACTGAGTGTTTCTAGCAGGCCAAGCCAGAAGCACCTCTCATGAATCACAGGCGCAGAAGGAAACAACATTCCACTTGAGAGCAGTCGTGGGATCCTTCACCGTTGCTAATCCCCTGTAATTTAAATTGTGCAGTCTGGTTTATTCCACTAGAGACTTAACATTTAATGCCTTCATTAATTAAAAGAATCATTGCGTTAAAAAATGCAAGCATTTAACAGTCTCACAAGGGTCTGCCACACCTTCACTTCACTCTTGAGGAACTGGACAAGTTCCCAAATCACTGTTTGCTTCTGGGCGCAGCATTGACTTTTCAGTTACGCTGAATGGGAAATCTCTGATAGCGAGATGATGCCCTTTGTTTTGCTCTTGTTCACTGGTCTACTCTTGAGGCAAAAGGTACCGTAATTCCCTACAGTCACTGGGTATCATGCACACAGGCAATGCAGTGCAACAGCAGTCAGGCACCTCTCCTTCTACAGCGTGGCTATGCTCAGTCTTGATTTTCTGAGAAGTTGGGAGAGGCAAAAGAGGTGTACAAGATGATTGTGTTGCAGAAAACAAAGAGGAAACCTAGAACTTACAGAATTTCCCAGAGTGGAACAAAAAAATGCAGAAGCTACAAAAAAAATTTTTTTAAAATAAGTCACATTTTCACAGCTATGATTTTGCACCATTGAAAATACTGCGCAGGGTGGTGTTTCTGATACACATCTCTTCCATCTTTTTTATCCTCTCAGATTTTTTGTTACTTTCAGATGCTCACACTCCCCAGTGCAAACAGTTCCCTTTTTTCCAAAGAAGCAGGCTTTGACAGGGAGTCAACTAACCTGAGCCTTTCAGTTGGGAAGTGAAATAAGTATTACTGACCCAATTAGTTTGTACATCTGGTCTTGGTTTTTTGTTGTTGTTGGGGGTGTGTGTGTGTGTGGAGAGGGGGTGTTGTTCTTGTTTTTTGGTTGTTTTGATTTGTTTTTTCTGTTCTTTTCCTAGTTAGAGATTGCTGACTAATTAACTCTGTACAGTTTCTTTCTCCCATCATTTCTGCAGCAAATTCTCACCCTGTCCTCCTGTCATCCTCTCTTGGCTCTGGAGTATGATCTGATTTCCAGGTCCCCCTCTCCCCTCTCTTCCTTCCTCTACGCTACGTTCAAATCAGATCGGAATAAAGGCAGCCTGTTTGTTGGCCCCAATTACAATGCAAAACCTGTGCGGGATAGAATGAAATAGGATGTGTCTGTCCTGCCCCAGAGATACCACCTTGCAGAGAAAAGTATGCAACAAGAGATGTGGAGCAGCCAGTTCAGGTTTCCCTTTCCCCAGTTCTAAAAACAGGGATGCCATTAATACCTCCACTGGGGTGTTCACCACGGACTTCTGTTAAATCACGGAGCCGGATTCAAATCCATTTCTGCCTCACCCTGCCATTTCTCTTTCACACACCAGCACTTCTACCCAGCGAGTTCATTAATTCATTCATTAATGCAAGAAGTGAGACCTCGGGGTCTACAGCAGCTGGTGTCACGTTCCGAGGAGGGACAGGGATGCAGAAGCTCCGTGAAAAAAAAACAAAACAGCCTACAACTCGCTACCACTTGGCCAGAGGCAGAATAATACAAATTTAATTCCACTAAAAGCAGGTAGAAACAAGCCTTGGGCTGTCAGGGGATCCTCCAGACCCGTGTGACCTTACCTCAGACCACCGTTGGGCTCTTCATCGGAGGAGAAGGTGCCGTTGCAGACGTTGCCGAAGGAGTGGCTGGGCTTCAGTTTGGCTTCCTCGCCCTCCGACGCCGGCTCTCTTTTCTTCCTCTTGCCGAAGAGCTTCTTGAAAGGCTGGAACTTGCCTGCTTTTTTCTTGTCTGCGGATCACAAGAGGGAGAGGCGAAGGGCTGAGGGAGGGAGGGAGGGAAGGAGGTGGTGGCCCGGCGGGGGCAGGCACCGCGGCACCGGGTTCAAAGGAAGAATGAGGTCAAAGAGCAAGTCACCAGCCCCAAGCGGCGCTCGCAATGCAAATGCGGGGCTGCAGCTCACCCTGGATGCCTCCTTGTTGAGAAAGCCAAGGTAAGAGCAGCAAAACACCTGCTCTTGGGCTTAAGGACCTGCTGGGAGGTGTCAGTGCAGCCCAACGTTGGGATGAAGAGCAAGGATAATTTAGTAGAGCCGGAATTTATTTATCATTTGTTATTTGGGGCTCAGTTTTAGGCTTCACACCGCACTTTTGATTCAACCTTTTCACCAAAAGGCAGGCACTGCTTTGATCACCACTCTTAGGCAGGTGTTGAATCCTCTGCCTTGAATTAAAAGCAATTAAAAAATAACCTGCTCTATTTTACTCACGTGGCCTCGTAACCAGACAAGTCAATTTGCAAATGAACAAAGAGAACAGGATAAAGTTCTGTTGGTTTGCTGGTGGGTAACTTCAAGAAACATCCAGCTTTATATCAACAAAGTCAATATATTTTTCTGACTTTCTTTTTTTCCCCAAGTAACCGAGGGCAGGATTTGACCAAGCATTTCTTCCTTGAGACACTTAAATTTTAAAAGCTGCACCAAAAACAAGCACGGCAAAAAGACAAAACAGACAGGAAGACAGGAACAAGAAATTAAAAATTTAGCCAGAAAAAAAAAAGAAGTAACTTTTGTTTTCACCAAAGACTGAAGAAAATAAATGCAGCTTCAAATTGCTTTCCCCACATCTATTAAAAAGAAGTACCAACAGTTTCTTGTTAATCATTTCCGAGAAGAGGTTAATTTCTATGGGCTGGGATACACCAAAGAATTTCTAAAACTTCATAACTGGCAAAGAGCTTCATTTCCTTTTCTGCCACTACTTAATTTTGCATTGAACTTACTTAAAACAAACTAGTTTAAAAAATCAAAACCAAACCATCATTTTAGCCTCCTATCATAATCCGGTCTGAGAAGCATCACGTTGTGCTGGTGACAAATATTTTCATAAGCTATTTAAATCCCTGGATGTGCTTTTCTCCTGGGCTGTGTGCATACACACTGCCTCAGCTCGCTCTGCTCTTCCCTGTGAGCTGCTGCTCTGCAGAAAGCAGTACTTTAGTTGCAAAGTAGACAGAAGGCCCCTGTAGGAACATTTGACCAGGAAATATGAAAAAATCTTCTGTGGTGCAACAGTGCTCTTCAATACCGTGTCAGGTTTTGCACGCCGATCTGCTATACCTGTGTATGGCAAAGCCACAGCTGGGTATCACCCCTGGGTAGTTGCTGATGGCATAATTACAAGGTATTTAAAGAGAGAAAATGTATCCAAGCACATTGCCACCTGGCTTTCAATACCGTGTCAGGTTTTGCACGCCGATCTACTATACTTGTGTATGGAAAAGCCACAGCTGGGTATCACCCCTGGGTGGTTGCTGGAGGCATAATTACAAGGTATTTAAAGAGAGAAAATGTGTCCAAGCACATTGCCACCTGGCTACTTCCAGTGACAAGTGGTTTCCAAATTAGCATGGTGCCAGCAAACATGTGTTGAACCCAGGGACAGGATCAAACTTCCACAAAGAGTAAGAAAGTAACTCCTTGTGAATCTGATTATATCCGTACCTGATGAAGCAGGAAATCTAGATTGAAATTATAAAGTCAAAGATGCAACAGAGAGTAATTCTGCGCTTCCTTTACAGATCCCCAAGAAGTTTACAGGTATCATTCTTCTCAATGGACAGTCAAGATATAAGTCATTTGTGCAACTTCATTAAGACAACAAGGCAACCCCATAGCCAGAATAATCATAACAAGCTGAAGTACCAACAGCAATTAGAATTTTTCGATTCAGAATCTCTGACCCACAACGGGCAGATGAGGAAAACAACGACGACTGAAGCACCAGTTTTACCAGTGTAGAAGAAAAAGGGGTACAGAATTTTACCATCCCCGGCCCCTAGCTTTGCTTTCCATCAGCTGACCAACTCACACCTCCAGCCAGACCAATTGCTTCAGAGAAATATTTTCTTATACGAAACCCCTAACAGATAGGCAGGCAGTCATGCAGAGAAAGAGAAAAATAATTGCTGTAGGTCACAGCTGCCCCAACCCTTCACATACTTCAGGGACTGCCTGCAAAAACTCATAAATCAAATGGTGGAGCATGCAGGAGAAAAAGCATCAGTAGGAGACAGATGACTGGATGAAAGAGATGTTTCTCCACATCTGAAAGGGAAGGCTGTGTAATGCCACTTCTGCATAAAACCATTCAGCCACAGCACTTTAAAACAGGTTCTCACTGTGTCATTCATCTGCATTGCCCTTGTCTCCTCCTCTTTTGGAAGTCTTCAGATATAACTGTGAATTACCTCATCAACTCCAAATCTACTGTACTGATTCACCAACTACAAGCCTGGGTGTTGAACAAGTAAGACAGGTCAACACAGCTTTCATTTCATCAAAAAGGGTGAAAGCCAACATGGTTATCTCCAGCCAAGATCTGCTTTCCTCCTTGTGATTTAACATGTCCCTTAGCTTTTTCCCTGCTCTGCACCCCATCATCACAGTTGTCGCATTACTAAGCGTGAATTCTTTCAGCGAGTCTTCGTGACTCATTGCAAACCCCATGAACACCCTTCCCCGCGCACGCTATTCCCCATCCTGCTGGTGTGCAGATCAGGAGCAGCCAACCCTTCCAGGTTTCTAAGGAGGCGATGCCTGACCGCCAAGGCAAGGTCTATTTATGTAAGCTTTTCACAAGTTCTTAGGGAGGAAGATGTGGGATGGCATCACCTACAGGGTAAAATGCTTCCCATAACAGGCTTCCTAACACAAGTACAAAAAGGAATCCAAACACCGGCACCGCAGCAGACAGCGCCCTGCGCAAAAGCCTTTCGAGTCGGAGCCCAAACATGACTCATCTCTCCAGTCTACACTGCAGAAAGGAAAAAAATGGGGTAGGAAAGGCTGAAGGATGGAACATCCAATGGTGTCGACTCATGTCAAGGGCAACTGCTGAGATAGTCAGGGAACAAGTCTGCCTACACGGGCCGTTTGCTTCTCTCCTCAATCCCTCTAATGGGAATCCTACAGATGCAGCCCCAGGAGAACCTGGGAAATCAGCAATTAAACCTGTTTAGACAGGAACAAGAAATTAAAAATTTAGCCAGAAAAAAAAAAAAAGTAACTTTTGTTTTCACCAAAGACTGAAGAAAATAAATGCAGCTTCAAACTGCTTTCCCCACATCTATTAAAAAGAAGTACCAACAGTTTCTTGTTAATCATTTCCGAGAAGAGGTTAATTTCTATGGGCTGGGATACACCAAAGAATTTCTAAAACTTCATAACTGGCAAAGAGCTTCATTTCCTTTTCTGCCACTACTTAATTTTGCATTGAACTTACTTAAAACAAACTAGTTTAAAAAATCAAAACCAAACCATCATTTTAGCCTCCTATCATAATCCGGTCTGAGAAGCATCACGTTGTGCTGGTGACAAATATTTTCATAAGCTATTTAAATCCCTGGATGTGCTTTTCTCCTGGGCTGTGTGCATACACACTGCCTCAGCTCGCTCTGCTCTTCCCTGTGAGCTGCTGCTCTGCAGAAAGCAGTACTTTAGTTGCAAAGTAGACAGAAGGCCCCTGTAGGAACATTTGACCAGGAAATATGAAAAAATCTTCTGTGGTGCAACAGTGCTCTTCAATACCGTGTCAGGTTTTGCACGCCGATCTACTATACTTGTGTATGGAAAAGCCACAGCTGGGTATCACCCCTGGGTGGTTGCTGGAGGCATAATTACAAGGTATTTAAAGAGAGAAAATGTATCCAAGCACATTGCCACCTGGCTACTTCCAGTGACAAGTGGTTTCCAAATTAACATGGTGCCAGAGAACATGTGTTGAACCCAGGGACGGGATCAAACTTCCACAAAGCGTAAGAAAGTAACTCCTTGTGAATCTGATTATATCTGTACCTGATGAAGCAGGAAATCTAGATTGAAATTATAAAGTCAAAGATGCAACAGAGAGTAATTCTGCATTTCCTTTACAGATCCCTAAGAAGTTTACAGGTATCATTCTTCTCATTGGACAGTCAAGATATAAGTCATTTGTGCAACTTCATTAAGACAACAAGGCATCCCCGTAGCCAGAATAAACATAACAAGCTGAAGTACCAACAGCAATTAGAATTTTTCAATTCAGAATCTCTGACCCACAATGGGCAGATGAGGAAAACAACGACGACTGAAGCACCAGTTTTACCAGTGTAGAAGAAAAAGGGGTACAGAATTTTACCATCCCCGGCCCCTAGCTCTGCTTTCCATCAGCTGACCAACTCACACCTCCAGCCAGACCAATTGCTTCAGAGAAATATTTTCTTATACGAAACCCCTAACAGATAGGCAGGCAGTCATGCAGAGAAAGAGAAAAATAATTGCTGTAGGTCACAGCTGCCCCAACCCTTCACATACTTCAGGGACTGCCTGCAAAAACTCATAAATCAAATGGTGGAGCATGCAGGAGAAAAAGCATCAGTAGGAGACAGATGACTGGATGAAAGAGATGTTTCTCCACATCTGAAAGGGAAGGCTGTGTAATGCCACTTCTGCATAAAACCATTCAGCCACAGCACTTTAAAACAGGTTCTCACTGTGTCATTCATCTGCATTGCCCTTGTCTCCTCCTCTTTTGGAAGTCTTCAGATATAACTGTGAATTACCTCATCAACTCCAAATCTACTGTACTGATTCACCAACTACAAGCCTGGGTGTTGAACAAGTAAGACAGGTCAACACAGCTTTCATTTCATCAAAAAGGGTGAAAGCCAACATGGTTATCTCCAGCCAAGATCTGCTTTCCTCCTTGTGATTTAACATGTCCCTTAGCTTTTTCCCTGCTCTGCACCCC